CCCTTCTCTTCAGCAAACAGAGAACCCTAAAGAACCCTAAACTCCCCGGCCACCGTAGATCGGTGGCCATGGGGAGTAACCTCGTCTCTCTCTCACCTAAAAACCTAAGTGAATCAAAATACAAAACCCACTGCACTCCAACCCTAACCAACCTAGAAGAGGAGAAGGCTTTACCTTCAGATACGGGGCTAGCTGGGATCGGAGAAGGTCACAACGAGATCCACGGTGGTGGTTCGAGGAGGAGGTAAAACTTTTTTCTTCTCTCTCTTTTTTTTCTGTTTCGTATCTCCTTTTTTTTTTATTCTCTGTTTTTTTTTTACCCACCGTTCTCCATTTCCTCTTCTTTTCTCTTTTATGTTTGCTTTCCCCCGGATTTCTGGTGAGATGATGATGATATCTAGGAAAAATAGGGGATGAGTCTCACTGACTTGGTGGGATCGAAATCCCGAATACTTAGGGATTTATTGGTATTTAAATTTGGAATTTAGATTTTGTGAGATTTGAATTGTATATGATATATTTTCTTGATTGGTTTTGCTGTAGATGACAATAGTGCAACAGTTGGGGTCAGACCGGAACAGTGATGGTGGCGGCGCTGAGGCAGAGAAGGGTCACACGGCGGCTGGAAGGGGATTAGGGTTTGGAACCCTAATATGTTTTAGGGTTTAGACTATCTACTGGATTGGGCCAGTGATAGTGGGCTTCTGGTTTGGGCCAATTGGGCTTCGGGTTGTTGGGCTCCGGGATTAGGCCTTTGTAATCTGAATTGGGCTTCTAAGCCTGCAAAAAATGTAATATGTAAAATTAATAATAATAATAATAATTAATAATAATTAAAAATAAAATAAATAAAAAAAATAAATATAAAAGACCCGGACAAAAACGGGTGTACACTATCCATTTTGAGTACACTTCTTTATCCACCGACGAGCTCGCCGTTCCGGTACTTTGAAGAAAAGAATCCCCCCATTTTTAGCTTTCTACTATTTTGAGTTCAAGATATGGTTGTTAATGTTGAAAAAGGCGACATTTTTACTGGAGGATGACGTCGCGAGCCTTAAGTGGCTATCTCATTTCGTTGATGATTCCTTCTCGGAACACTCTGCGGCGGCGTATCCAACCGGAACGTTATCGGAGAAGCCCAAGTTACCAGGAAGCAAATTGCCTGAACCGGAAACACCAGTTACGACTTGTTTTAAAACTCCGATTTCAGCCAAAGCAAGAAGCAAGCGCGGTCGAAGTGGTGGTCGGGTTTGGTCTCTTGTCGCTTCCCCTTGTACGGAATCCCCTTCAAGTTCCACTTCGTCATCTTCCTTAGCCCTTGGTTCGTTTACTCAAGCAGTGTCCCCGGTTCAGCCTGTGAACCCCTTCTGCTATAAGATCTATTGTTAACGGGCTAGCCCTTCTACTTCTTCTAATTTTTCTCGGCTTGTGTTAACTACCCAAGAAAAAGAAGAAGATGAAGCAAAAACCATGGAAAAGATTCAATTGCTTTCAATATTTGACATTTCCGTCAACTCAGTTAGAATAAACTTTAAATCATCTAGTTGGGTATTCCGTCGTTTTTGTTAATGATGGATCAACTTAAAACATTACTAATGAAAACACAATTTTACTCAAATATTAACCCTCATTTGCATGATTTCCTAAGATTTTATTTTATGAAAAACAAGATACTGGTTACCAATTATTGAGAAGTAGAACAGTAATGAAATCTGCTGCCGATCGGTTCCCTGCAGCAGCAGGCATATTCCCACCCATTAAACCAAATTCTCTTTGCTTCAACCTCTCTCGATCGGTGTATCCTTCAGATAACGATTCCGGCGATCTCTTTCGTGATCATATTCTTTCCCACCGATATTTTGATATTTTCTCTTCAACTTCCTACTCCCAGACTCGGTTAAAACTGAAGCTTCATCAACGCAATCCCTTGTTACTTATTATAATTTTAAGCGCGTATATATTCAGACGACGGCGGCGATAGGCGCGTCTACGAACGGCCCGGAGTAGACTCCTCCAAAAACGAAAAAGTCTGTTCCCATTGGCGGGCAGGTAAGTGCACCAGTTTCCCTTGCCCTTTCTTATACGGCGAACCGTCTTATCCTTCGGGACCCGCCTCCTCCACCACCGTTAAAGGGTTCGCTACCCCCAAACGGAAAAGTGGAGCGAAAAAGGTGGTTAGAAAAACGGAGAAAGTATGTAATTATTGGGTTCGAGGTAACTGTAGGTATGGAAACAAGTGTAAGTTTTTACTCCCATCGAGTTTAGGGGAAGCTTTTAGTATGTTGAATCCCCAAACGATGACGATGTTTTGTTTGTTTTGTGAACAGCTTGTTAGTGGAATTGTGTTGCCAGCAGGTATGGATAAGCTTTCTACGGGGAGTAAAGACGAGACTTTGAGGGCTTGGGACACAAACTCTGGTCAGGTTAGTGATGTACCGATGTACCGATGTACCTTTGTTTCTTCCTTTAATTTAGTTTTTATATCCCTGAGGAAGACAATTATACATATTGTGAACTGGTAAAGTCATAAAAAATCGTAAGACGTGATAGACGGATGGTTGCGGTAGTTCTAATGGTGCTGGTCTGGTTTGGTGGTGAAGAAGTGTTTCCTCTTCTACTCTCTTATCACATGGTTATATATAGTTGGTGGTCGTTGGCGATAGACGTGATAGACCATGTGTACCAACAAATGGTTGTTGGTGATAGTCCGCTATAGGTGTGCTCGTGGGGTTGTAGATGATAGACACGTGTTTTCTGGTAGGCGTTTGCGAGGTACGCTCGGCATGGTTAAAGGTTCGCTTAGGTCATATGTTCGCAGGTAGTAATAGTTGCCCCCCGAGATGATAGGTGGTTATAAAGTGATCTTCGCAAGCCTTGAAAATGAGCGGAAAGTTAGAGCGTTAAAACGAAGAGATAAAGAGACCATGCCCTCACTTTTTGGAGGTATTTCCGCTTTACTGATTCGTTTAAATTTTCTTTGTCTTGCAGGCGTGCTTAACCTGTGTTGAAATGTCGAACGAGGGCGTGGTTCCTGAGTCAATCATTGCTGGTTCGTTCGCAATTAATTATGATGTTATTTTTCTTTTATTGCGTTGATGACTAAAATTGGATTTATTTATGTGTTCAGGGAATGTCACTGGAGGCGAACAAGGTGTGCAGGCGAACACAACTATTCCACCCTCATCTGAGATTATCACGGCTTCTACAAGCGAACTTCCCGCTGCTACAATTGCTGCCCAAACTCCCTCATCTGTTGCGGATACGCTTGTTGTCTCTTTACTGCGGCGGAGGCGACTAGAAGACATATTGCCGAGAGTAAGAGATTCGCTTCAACACTGCCTCCTATCCTTGAACAGGGGGAAGAGGTCTAAGACTTACATAAAGAAAAGTCCCTTTCTCTTTAAGTTGTTTTGAAGTTTTGTTGTTGTTGTTACATTGATATACATATATATTTATGTGTACGTAGCCCCTGGTGTCAATTTCTCGGATTCAACAGTTGTGCATATGACTGTTGCCAGCTTATCCGCAACTGCACCTGTGTTCATCCCTACTTCTTTAGTTCCACCCTCATCTGTTGCTACTTTGTGTTCCTCCTCCTTGCCTCCTCGTGAAATGGAATTGGCTCCGCTTAGTGAGTTTTATCCGTGGAGAAATCGGCAAGGTGCATACAACTGGTTTCATCCGGTGTTGGCCTCGAGGAGATTATCTGAGATGATCTCGGGAGATGTCTCCTCTTCGTTGCCCCCCATGGACTGGCAAATTAATTGACGGGAGCTGGGGTCTTCTCCAAGAAATGTGCCATTCGCAGTATCATTTGGGGAAGGCTGTGAAGGTTCTTGAGAAAGAACTTAAGGAAGCGCATTAGCTGTTGGAGAAGTCACGTGAAAAAGAGACTGATCTGACTGGGAAACTCCAAGACCGCGATGCCGAGATTTCGAGATTATTGACCCAGCTAAGGGAGCTTGAGGAGGAAAAGAAGAAGTTGGGAGAGGAAAAGAAGGTCGATGAAGCTCGTCAAGAGGAGCTGGCGAGAAAGTATTCCTCGGATATTGCTGCTCTTCGCGGTGATCATACACAGCGTTTCTCGTCCTTGAAGTCGGAACATTCAACTGCCTTAGTGAATTTGAGAATTGAGATGGAGCAGTTGAAGTCTATGCATGCGAGAGAAATGGGGGAGAAAGTTAATCAAGATGCCTTCCAGGTGGCTCATGGTCCGTTGGATGTCTCCCGTGTTGATTTCACTGTGCTTCGCGGACAAAATGTGGATTTTGAGGTAAGGAATCCTGAGGGGTCATCTTGGACCAATTTAGTTGCTGAGAAAAAGTCAGCTGTGATAATACCTGTTGGCGAACCATTTACTCCTTTATCTATAGCAGATGAAGCTGCTAGCAGCCAGAGCTGATCTCGTGTTTATTTGTAGAGAGGAGAGGAGATCATCCATGTATTGACCAGTATGGTGTCCCAAACTAGGTTTTGGAGTTCCATTCCACTGTAGAAATTGTCATAGGAATTTTATTAATTCAGTACAAACAGTGGGTGTAAGAAGTTCTCTTCTAACCAAGACAAGTGTTTGAAACTATGACTTCAACTTTAAAACTAGTTTACTGTAAATTTCAAGATGATCTTGCCTAGGATAAAGTGTGGTCTGTCTTTCACCGGCGATGGAACTGGCTTTAAAGTGTGGAAATGGGCAGAACCAGTAGCCATATCCTGATGCCTTGCGCCATTTTATAACATATTCATCAGTATGTATTTTTGGGGTCATTATCTCATTTCGTTCTTCCTTCCGGGTTGGTTTCCAAATTCGGTTAGGAGAAAACAAGGGTTCCCGATCGCCGACAGTTCCGTGTTAGTTGGGAATGATCAGTAGTTATGTGCCTAATTTGAGTTGAAATTTTAAAGAATGTGAAGTTTTAGTTTGGAGATGGAGAATAGAGTTGGCAGGTTTTGAGTTCTGTATCTCAAACACAGTTGATGTTATCTTCTTCACCAAATGCTTGAATAAGAAATGAAGCCTTGGTTTTGGAGCTTTGAAAGCGTCAAATTTGTTACACATACAATAACAGGTCTTGGAAAAGTCCAGGATATACTACATAGATAGTCGCCACTCTCATTATGCTGCTGCTTTATCTGAATAGGCATCAGTTTTATTGCTTCCAAACCTACTTTAATATTCACTTACGAGTAGTGCCTTTAATCTGGTTGAGATCACAGCTTAAACATGACTTTAATGGCATTGCCGCCACGAGCACTGGTTTCGAAAGCTTCTTCGACCTCTTTCTGAGAAAACCCGAACCTGTGAGTTATCAGCGGCTTCACGTCGACCTTACCGCTTCTTAGAAGCTCGATGCACAGAGGCCAAGTATTCGTGTATGTGAAACACCCGACGACATCAATCTCCCTGCAAAAATCCATGAGCCGATGAGTGTCGCTCGTCTGATTTCCAGTAAACAAACAAATAAATAAATCAATACAACCTGGCTGCAGCCGGAGTCAGAGGGACGGTCATCTCGTTGTGGCCGAGTCCGATAAGGCAAACCTTGCCACCGGCTCGAGTGGCACTCAGAGCAGTCGACATTGTTTTGCTAAAACCTACACAGTCACAGCTTACATGCACTGCTGTTCCCATCGCTTTACGTATTGCTTCGACTTCCTCGGGTATGTCCTGCATATCAGTTGAAACTTTAATGACTCCGTCAGCACCGAGACCCTTAGCAACAGATAGTCGATGTTCATCCACATCGACAATGACAATTCTAGGTGCCCCGAAAGCCCGAGCTGCCAGCAATGTGACGAGACCGATTGGTCCTGCCCCCACGATCAACACATTGGTTTCTGGACTGATATCGGCTCGACGACAAGCATGAACCGCTACACTCAGGGGCTCACACATTGCCCCTTCTTCAAAGCTCACATTATCCGGCAGTTTGAAGCACAGATCTGCAGGACGCACTATCTACACCCGAACCCGATTTGCACATTATTAGTCAATCGACGCAGATAAATAACGAGGACCCCATATCGAACACAGCTTATCGGACTCACCTGACGAGCAAGAGCACCATGATTCGGTGGCATGGAAAGCAACTTCCTTTCAGGACATAGATTGTATCGACCTTCCTTGCAAAGATCACACCGCCAGCAACTGATCCCAGGGTCCAACGCCACTCGGTCGCCGGGAACTAGATTCTTGACTTCACTGCCGGCCTCATCTATGATACCAGCACACTCATGCCCGGTCACCATCGGTTCTTTCACCACATAATCGGCGAGCCTCAATGTCTACAAAACACATCTAATCTGATCCAATATAACCCTAAACAATTAATAAAATATAATTAATAATTTACAAATATTTTTACCTTGAGAAAGTGAACATCAGTTCCACAGATGCCAACAGCTTTCATCCTTACTCTCACATCTTGGGGTCCTTGAATACAAAATTTCCCCACAACACAGAGGAAAATAATCAATCAGCATATATATACTAAACAAAAACAAGAAAAGGGTTATCATCTAAAGCCGTGATGAGAATTATACCAAGAGGAGGGAGCTTGAATGGCTGAATCTTGAGGGTGTTGATACCCACAAGCCAAGCCGCCATGTTTTCTTCTTCCTCCTCGTGAGATTTCCCGCCTTTTCCCATTTTCAACGAGCTGGAGCTGGTAAAATTGGCACTAGATTACCGTGCTTTAAAATGCAGTCTGAATCGCTATAAGTAGAGGCTATGGAACAGCCAAGATAGTTGTTTTCAGCGCTGTTCCTTCTTTCATAGCTTTAGTACAAGTGTTCGTTGTTCGTCAGTAGTTATCTTCTTGACATGCATTGAGTTAGCGTATGTCTTACGTTTTTTCATTTTATCTTATTAGTCACAAGTTTGATGCATTGCAGGTCGTCGTCTCAATTATTTTTCTTTGTCTTTTGTACTTTCGTTTTCATTTTGAATTGTTTTCTTAAATAGTTAAAGTACATAAATGGTCCCTTGACTATAATATATTGCTTATTGAATTCTCTGATTATTAAAAATTACAAAATAATCCTCCAACTATAGGGAGTTGCTTTGTTGAGTCCCTTACAATTTAAAGTTTCAAAATGGTCACCAAACTATTCGTTATGTTTCAAACTATCATTTTTCGTTACAAAATTGACAGCAGTCTAAATTTTAAGTTAACATGTTGGCCGAGATATGATAAAATCTGATATCATTATCTCAAATGACTATCATATCCCGGTCAGCATGTTAATATCCAACTCAGATGACCGTTAATTTTATAATAGAAAATGACGAGTTTGGAACATAATGAATGGTCAGGTGACCATTAGGTAACTTTTAATAGTCGATGAACTCAATAAAGCAACTTCCTATAATCGATGTTCATTTTGTAACTTTTAATAGTTAAGAGACTTAATAAAGCAGTATTCTATAGTCAGGGGACTATCTGTATACTTTACCCTAAATTTTAATAAATTTTTTATTAACCTGGGTAAGTACAAGGTAGTATCTTATCAAAGATAACTCTGAATCATTTAACATAGAAAACTTACACCTCTAACATTCAGAAAACTCGAGACATCATGAAATAACAACACTTCTAAATGATCCTAAATTTCAATATACTTTTTCTTAAGTCAGATTATTTATTCATTTGAGACCGTTCACCACATTTTTGTGTGCTTGAATGACCAAAAACAACCGGATTCAATGATAATTCACACACACAAAATTACCCTATAGTAACTGTTTATAATTTACATTTTTGTGTGTTTAAATGACAAAAAACAACCGGATTCAATGATAATTCACACACACAAAATTACCTTATAGTATATGTTTATAATTTTTTTGGTTTAAGTATGAAATATGTGTCTAAATTATACTTGTTTTTGTGAATATGTATCTAATTTTACCAACGTTACTATTTTAGGTGTTCGGGCTGTAACGGTCGTTAAATGAAAATTGTTATCCATTCATTTGTTGACACGTGATCATGATTTGAATTTGACTTAAGTATAAACTAAGTGCCCAAACTATATTATTATTTTTTGAATAGGTCCTATATTATTTTTCGGCCTATCCAGGTACCTAAGTTATGTGCCTGATGTTACACATGTTACCATTTTAGGTGCCTCGGTGTTAATTGTAGTTAAAACCCCCGTTAAGGGACACCTATCATAATCTGGTAATTTTAACATTTTATTTTTAAAAAAACTTAAAAATATTTTATTTACGAAAAACCCCTATTTTTTTCTTTCTAAAAAATCAAAATATCTTATTTTAGTCCCATTTACTCCAACCGTCGGTCATCTCCGGCCACCCATTCGCCAACGATGGACCACCCATACGTCGTCCACCACCCACTAACCGATTGCAATTCTTAAGATAAGGATCCATTTATGAAATACATTTTTCGGTACATGTTTTCTTCAAACTTTTGATAAAAGGGTGAAATATTTTAATTATACATTGTTTTAGAAAATTTTATTTGAAATTTATAAAACTTAAACTTATAAAATTTTAAAGATACGAAATTATAATATCAATTAAAAATATAAAAAAATATTATAATTATTTAAAAATTTAAAATTTTTTAAAGGGTAATCGTTCTTCAATATTTTTATTAAACTAGGGTGATTACAAAGTAGTATATATTTAAAATATTCTTAATTATTTGACAATAAACACTCAATCAACTTGCTACAGTCGTCGATACTCGAAATAATAATTATATCTTAAGTAACATTCATAAAACATGTTACTTTTTTAGAATAATAAATATGAAAAAAAAAAACGAAATGTATTAATTGTTGACAACACCTAATCTCTTATATTGTTCGTTAAAGATAAATATGCAATTATTAAACAAAGTCTTCTCATCTTATAATATTAATAATAATAATAATAATAATAATGGTGGGAAAAGAAGTTATCATCAATGTCAACCATAACCATTCATTTTATGTTGGTTAATACATGTCTCAAGTCCCTTTATTTTTTGTGCAATTGTAATTTAGTCCATTAACTTTTAGATCGAATAATTCAAGTTCAGCTGCTCATATCATTAACATTTTACTATTAAATTTGTTAATATGTTATTTTGAAGAAAATAAATAAATTTGGAAGCCATGTAACAAACTTGAATATCTCTATTAAACCCATTGTAGTAGACTTGAATTTGATAGAATAATTTTAAAGGTGTTAACAATTGAACTTAAACTTTTAAATTTAAAATATAAAGGGACTAGACTTCAGATATACAAAGAGTATCAGACTTTGAACATATTTTAACCCTTTAAATTTATATAAAACGGCAAAAATAAATAAATAAATTAAGGGTAAAGTACACTAAATGTCCTTATACTATAATCAAGTGGTTATTTTGGCCACCAAAACTTTCAAATATTATAAAAAAATCATTAAATTTATTAAATTATTATAAAATAGTCGCCATAACCTTGTAATAATAATAAAATTTGATAAACTTAATGATTATTTTATAATAATTCGATAAATTTATTGAGGATTTTCTAACGCTGATGTAATTATTTTATAATAGTTCAATAAAATTTAGGTAAAAGGTTACCTAAGGCCCTCCACTTTTTCAATAATAATAATATTAATAATGTGGCCCTCAACCTTTTTTTTCACTCAATGTGACCCTCCAATTTAGAAAAAAATACTCAATGTGGTACTTTGACCAACATTTTCCGTCGTTGATCGACGGGATCGTTACTTTGTGCTGACGTGGCACGTTAAGCGGACCAAATCCTTCTTTCCTCTCAATCTGGCCCTCCAACTCAAGAAAATAACTAATCTGACCTTCCTATTTTTCTCTCTTATATTTTGTTCATTAAATTTCAAAAGTTTTCAATTTAATCACTCAGCTTTTGAATTGCTCATATTTTAATCATCATAAATTATTTTATTAATATTTATGTATGATGTGACATTTTTCTTTTCAACCAAATATTTTATTTTTTTCTTTCATTACTAGATTCAGTGAACACATATTGAACTTGTAAAAAATTGAAAATCCGGGGATGAACTACTTAACCAGGTAATGGAAGAAAAAAAAAGAAATCTTTGGTTGAAAAGGAAGATAAATGAAATGAGAGGAAAAATGAGGAGAGTTGAGATTTGAAAATATATAAAGTAGAGGGAATGTTTTTTTTTAATTTAATTATAATTTTGAGAATATTTTTTTGTTTCAATATATTCTTAAAAAAATTAATTTAATTAATATTATTTTAATTAATATAACATATGAAAAAAATATGAAGAAATACATTTGTATTGTCTATATAATTATAGAAAGTCACTTAAATTGGAATAAAATAATATTATAATATTATAAATATTAAAATTAAATTTAAACAAAAACTCAAAAAAATCTATTAAACTCGACTCGAATTTTATAAACTTGAATCAACTCGAAAAAATTTCAAATCAAATCATAGTTATAAAATAGGAATTGTCAACTCGAATAACTCAAATTTTTTTGACTAGACTAGACTCGAATTGATCGAACGCTCACCCCTAGTTGTGGTAATCATTTCATAACAGTTTGATAAATTTAATGATTATTTTATAATATTTAAAAATTAAATTACTAAAACAATCATTTAATCATACTTTAAAAACTTCAATTACGACTAATTTGCGCATCAATTAATTAGGGTTTTTTTTTCCTTCGGATAAGACATATTACACGTAATATAAGCTATGAATTTCCCATCTCGACACGTCAAAAGATTTTGCTTCCATATAACTTAAAGTTAAGCAATGGATAAACTCAAAAATAAATAATCAACGTTATTTATAATATAAATTATTTAATATAAATTCTAAAATTTAAACTTCCAATAAGATATATGATATTAATACAATACATTTATGAAATATTGTTTCCACTATCATGTATAAGGTAATAATTCGTTTATATTTTAGTAATTTTCTCGCCATCAAAGGAAGGTGATCTTAGGTTAAAGATAATTAGATCGTAAAGATTTCTTTATCGAATTAACATTTAATTAATGGGTAAAGTGTTCAAATGATCTCCGATTACAAAGTGTTATTTTATTGAGTCCCTCGACTCTTAAAAATTACAAAATAGTTCTCTATAGAATGTTGTTTTATCGAGTCTCTCGACTATTAAAAGTTACCAAATGATTCATTGACTATACGATGTCGCTTTATTGAGTCCATAGATTGTTAAATGTTACAAAATGGTCATTCAACTATTTATTGTGTTCCAAACTTGTCATTTTTCGTTAAAAAATGATGACAAATTGAATTAGACATTAACCTACTAAGATATGATAGTTGTTTGAGATTCTATGATCAAATTATATCATATCTTAGTCAATAGGTTAACATTCACTCAAATTGTCATCAATGTTTTTAAAGAAAAAGGATGAGTATGAAACACAATTAATAGTCAAGTACTATTTTGTAACTTTTAATAGTTGGGCGCTCAACAAAGTAAATATCTTATAATTGAAAATTATTTTATAATTTTAAATAATCGAGAGACTTAATAAAGTAGTACTCTATAATCGGGAGATCATTTATATACTTTATCCTTAATTAGTTTATGGTTAAATACGAGTAATTAATGAAAATATTTAAATACCATTCTTCTCCGACTTCCTAGCAACGCAGAAGTGTATAAAAGGCACTTTCTTCCCTTAGAATTGCATCCTTCCATCATTTCATCTTCCTCTGTTTCATCAAAGTGCTTCTTTCAGAAACCCTAACCTCTGTTTCTCAATCCCTTCCATGGTTTCTTCTTCGAGAA